GGTGTAGTCACTTCAGAGGTTCACCGTTCAGCCGGGGATTGGACAGCCCCATAAAACCAAATGGGACTAATGAGGCACAGCAGTCCAGGGACAAGGACTAGAAGGCAGAAGGGGACAGGAAAGCTGGTGAGAGGGAACCCAAGGTTGAGTAAGGAGAGAGTTGACATGTAGTGGGGTTGTTAACCATTGTCATAGGGCAATATCTGTACTATTTAATGAGAAACTCTTTTGTTCTGTAAACCTTCATCTAAAGTAAGAATAGCAGCACAACTGGAAGAAAGTAATCGACATCACTGAATTGTACATGTAGAAATTTTTGAAATGGTGTATCTTTGGCCGTATATATTTTCACCAAAAGAAAAGGTCCTCCAAGGCTGAGAAGGGAGAGTGTTGACGTGGTGAGGGGTTGTTAACCAACGTCATAAAACAATATGTGTACTGACTGTTTAATGAGACACTATTTGTTCTGTAAACATTCACCTAAAGTACAATAAAAAAATTAAAAAATAAATAAACCACTTCACTGTTAAAAAAAAAGAAACAAAACCCAGCTGCAGGTGCCCTTTGCCTTCTACTGAAGATGGGGACCTTGAACTACCTGTTTCTCAAGGGAAGGAAATGTTTAAAGCAAACAAGGCAGCCAGATGTGTTATTTCATTTAAGGATATAGGACTGTCAGAGAACTAACTAAAGTGAACCAGAGTTCAAATAAGACAAAATGAAAAGCTAAGAGAAGACTAAAAAGAGAGATTCCTGGGAGGGGTTGTAAGCAAGTAATTCTAGCCCACTTACCTAGTAATACCAGGAGCAACCACCCTAACTGTTCTAACCACTGTGTGTTTTCTAATGTTTATTCTGGTTACTCCCAGGTTGTTTCCCTTTTCTGAATAGTGGCAAAACCCTTCAAATGAAAATGGTCTCTGTGTCAACTTCAGAAGCAACCAAAAACGAAAAACAAGTGACACCTGTGGCTGTTTGCAGCCAGTCTAGGGAAAGAGTAACCGCATGGAACCCGAGGTGACAGCCTCGGAGAAGGGAGGTCAGAATCCTTCTGGCTGTGGCAAGAAAGAAAAGGGGGAGCCAGACTAAGATGGAATTCTAGCAGGTGGAATCACTATCGAGCCCATCACATTCCATGACACTATATAAAAAGTCTCATGCACCTAGCCTCTGGGAGTGTTCCAAGTATTAGCGGAACAGGAGGTTTACCTGGAACCTCCAGAGCCCTCCGATGTCATCTGTCCTTTCAAAGCAGACAGGCTCCAAACCTTCTTCCAGGCAGCACTTGATAGAAGTCAGCCCACTCATCCCTCCCCCAATCACAGCAATTCTTTTCTTGGGCATGGTCTCTGGAGATATTCACTGGGCTGGGTCAATGCCACTTGTCCTAAAGAAAGGATGAAAAAAAGAAAGAAAGTACACATTAGTTCCCACCTCTCCAGGAAGACGTTGGTTGGCTATGGCATCCAAATAAGTGCTACAAGAGATGCCTTTGGAGACACCAGATCCTGCTGTTCAATTGCTGTTGTTGTTAGGTGCCTTCGAATCAGCTGTTCTATTAGAGCTAGGGAATTGCTACGCGCATGGGACGCGGAAGGCCTGCACTTGCCAGACCAGAGCTACGAACGCTCCGCCGGCGGTGGTACCCTACCTCACTGCCTTTCCGGCAGCACCGGCCAAATCTCCAGCTGCGATCTGAATGGTATGCTGAACTTTCAACTGCCTTCAAACAAAGATAAAGCAACAGCCTGCAAACAGCAGCAAACGGGAAGGAGCTGTTCCGCTCCACCTCCTCTAGCCAACACTCTGCCCACTCAGGGGCATTTATTCTTGCTCCTCACCTGGGAATAAAACGTGGGCGTAACCTGTGTTGGACAGAAAAAATTAACCCTACAACATCTCTACTTTTCAGCGGCAGCTGCCAGCATTCTCAACTACGCCCTCTGCAGATGGACCTGCCCCCTTTTCCATCCCTCCCCGCCCCTCCGCTTCAACTTTTAACTTCCTGGTTGTTGCCTTAAAGTGACAAACTGCTACTGATGAAGGCAAACACTGTCAATACCCCCATAGTAAATCTTGCTCTAAATGCTTAAGTGGAGAACACTTACCTTTCAGGACATCTGGAGAAAATAGTGATGTCAGCCCTGTCTTCCACCCTCCCCCGGCCCCATCTCCCAAGCCCTCCAGACTGAATCTTTGGATCTACACTAGTGGTAGAAACTTACTTTAAAATCGCTATCATCTTACAATTTAGTGGCAGGAGACCAAAACATAAATGGATAATTTCAATAAAAATAATACTTTTTAAAAGTGCTATTACACAGTTACAGCAGCAGGTAAAAACACAAAAGATCCATTTTTAAAAGGTAACTGTCTTAGTCATCTAGTGCTGCTATAACAAATACCACAAGTGGATGGCTTTAACAAAGAGAAGATTATTTCCTCACAGTAATGGAGGCTAAAGGTCCAAACTCAGGGCATCAACTCCAGGGGAAAGCTTTCTGTCTCTGTCGGCCTTCTCATCAATCTTCCCCCAGACTAGGAGCTTCTCAGAGCTGGGACCCCAGATCAAAGGATGCGCTCTGCTCCCAGCGCTGCTTTCTTGGTGGTATGAGTTCCCCCCTCTCTGTTTGCTTCCCTTTCATCTCTTGTAAGATAAAAGGTGGTGCAGGCCACATCCCAGGGAAACTCCCTTTACATAGGATCAGGGTGTTACAATCCTACTCTAATCCTCTGTAACATAAAATTACAATCACAAAATGGAGGACAACCACACAATACTGGGAATCATGGCCCAGCCAAATTGATACACACATTTTTGGGGGGACATAATTCAATCCATGACAATAACTTAAAATTTTCAAATATAAAATCAAGAGTCCTTATCAAGCAGAAAAGGCCAAAGTAATGAATATAGGATTTCACACACTGGGTCAGAATCCGGGCCCATCCAGCCCAGGATTCTATTTTGACAGATGTACTGGGTTATAGGAGGCATTGTTCGTGGCTGACAAAACCCTTGTTCACCTTCTACCACTCCCAGAGTCAACTTTGCTCAAGCTGACACCTATTGATGCCAGGCCTGGATTTTGGCTTACTGGCCTCACATCAAAAGTAACCTTAAAGACAACTAACTTGTTTAAAAGAAAATGGCAAATAGCTATCATTCATTGAGGCCTTACCTTGTGTAGTTCAAAAGGCTTAATGAGAATCCATGTAATCCTCTCAGCAACCCTGTGAGGCAAGTATAATCATCAGCCCCATTTTGCAGTTGGAAAATAGAGGCAGAGAGAAGGTAATCAACCCACTGATTGATGATCATTCCACTAGTATGTACGGGGAAGGACAAGGATTCAGGTCTGGGCTCTTGATCATCACACACACTGCTCCTTCACAAACACATTTTCGCTTCTTATTTAATCACAAGCCCTTCTTCTCTTTCTCATCTCTCTATCACATCCCTTTTCTCTTTGTCTTTACATTCCTACATTTTAGTCTAACTGCTTTTAGCAGAGCTGCGTAGGGGTTAAGAGCTCTGTCTGCTAACTAAAATGTCGGCAGTTCAAATCCACCAGGTGCTCCTTGGATACTCTATGGAGCAGTTTTACTCTGGCCTATAGGTTCACTATGAGTTGAAATCGACTCGATGGCAAGCGGTTTGGTTTTTTTTTTTTTTTTGGTTTATAGCTTGCCGAATTTCAACTACTTTAAAATGTTTAAAAATAGGTATTGGGTTTGAGGAATCATTTGACTCCATCAGGAAGATTCCTGCTCAATATTTGGTCTGAATTGTATGAAAATATAGTAAATACACATATACACACAATGTCTGTATGATCACACATATGGCATTCTGTGGTGTTGATATCTTACGTTCCCACACGTATCTGTGTATGTGGGAACATATGACATCAACATTACAGAAAGGGAGAATGAAGGTAAGAGGCTTAAGGATGGGGTTTTATATATATTTCTCAGTAATTTTTTAAAAAGTGATTTTACTTTTTGACATTGGTTATTGTGATGGTTAAGGTTGTGTGTCAACTTGGCTGGGCCATGATTTTCAGTGGTTTGGCAGTTATAATGTAGTTTGCAGCTATGTAATAACGTAGTCATTTCCATGATGAGATCTGTTAAGAGCAGCCAGTCAATTCAAAGGGAGTTTCCTTAGAGGTAAGGCCTGCATCTAATACATGTGGACTTTATGGCAAAGCTCACTGGCTTTTGCTTGCCCTGGATCCTCATATGGCCTCCAGTTCTTGAGACTTGAGCTAGCAGCTTACCTGCTGATCTTGGGATTTGCCAGCCTCTGAAGCCAGTGAGCCAGAGGCCTGCTGTCTCACCTGCTGATCTTGGGTTCAACTGTCCCTGAAGCTGTGTGAGTCAAGAGAAGCCTCCAGCCTGACCCACGAACTTGGGACTTTCCAGCCTCTACAACCTCATGAGCCATTTCCTTGATATGAATCTCTCTCTCTCTCTCTATTCCTCCCTCTCTGTCTCTC